AGTTTACTGTATTTAGGGGGAGCAAGGCAGAGGGGCTAGATGGTGTTTTTAACACAATAGGGTCTTAAATACATGTTTATGTTCCTGACCCTATAGTGTTCTTTTAAATCTTGTGATGAATGTTTTTTGATGTAGGGTTAAAACTGTGGGGACATTTTTGTAGAGAAATAATTGGAAGGTTTTTCTAACAGTATGGAATCATTTGGAAAGGGTAGTAAATTAAGGCCTTTGTGGTTAGATATTGTCAGGCTCCCGCGGACGGCTGCGAGGGGAGGCTGCACTCCGCTCGCAGTACTCACCCTCCAGCCGTCCGCGGTCCCCTCCACCTCGTGGGTACGGCGAGCGGCATCCTTCCAGCCTCGGATGCCGCCCGCCGTTCCCTCCACGTCCCCCAGCGGCAGCATGCATGACGCTGCACGCTGGGAGACCGCCCAGGGTTATACACGCCGGGTTCAGTCACCTGACCCGGCGTTAAAGGCAAAGTGCCACAATCACAGTGGGAGGTCTAAATATCTCCCACGTGTGATTGTTAATTCTGATTGGAAATCATCCAATCAGAATTAACCTGATGGTTTAAATACTTACCTTTCCTGTTCCTCCTTGCCCTGTTGTGGTCTTTGCTTGTTAGTATTGATTCTGAACTTGTGCTTCTGGTTACATACTCTCTGGCTTGTTATCCGACTCTGTGACTTTCTCCTACCCTTTGACCTCGGCTTGTTTCACGTTATTCTGTCTTCTGGTTCCCCTTACTCGGCTTGTTTCCTGACTATTCTTTGTGTGCTTAGCCCGGCCACTCTAAGGTCCGGTACGGCACTTTGTGTGTGTGTGTGTGTGTTGGCGTGTTTGGTTCCCCGAATCGTGACATTACAACAGGGCCATAATGGAACCTGCTGACATACCACAGCTTCTAGTTAATCAAGAGGCTAGAATGGATGGCTTAGACCACCGTATGGATCAGTTTGCTCAAGCTTTACAAACCATTCTGGCTCGTACTGCACACTTGCAACCGGCCGTTCAGGAGGCTGCTGCTGCTGTGCCCGAACCCATTCCCACTCCAGTACCTGTTCCCGCTCATGTAGTTCACATGACGCCGCCACAGCGCTACAGTGGTGACCCAGCATTGTGTCGTGGTTTCCTCAACCAAATCGACATCCATTTGGTGATGAATCCACGCTCCTATCCCACTGACAGATCTAAAATTGCCTTTTTGATAAACCACTTGTCCGGGAGAGCTTTAGCATGGGCCAACCCCATTTGGGAAAATACGTCTCCTATGTCCTTTGCTGATTTTCTGACAGCTTTCAGACGCACGTTTGATCAACCCGGTAGGGTTGCTTCTGCTGGCAAGGCTCTGCTTAGGGTCCGACAGGGTAACAGGTCTGTAGCAGATTACACTATCGAATTTCGTACTCTAGCAGCTGAAGTGGTTTGGAATAATGACGCCCTCGTAACAGCCTTTCAGGAGGGTCTGGCCGCTTATATACTGGATGAAATAGCATCCAGGGAATTACCTGCTCTTCTAGATGATGTTATAGACTATGTGATTCTTATAGATAACCGTATTAGAGAGAGGCGTAGCCAAAGACGGTTGGATACACGGGTGTTACCTGCTCTACCCAGTACTTCCCTGCTAGCGTTACCCGCTCCTGTGCAGCCATCCCCTGAACCCATGCAGTTGGGTGCTACAGGGTTAACTGAGGCCGAAAGAGCGTACCGTAGAAGGGAGGGGTTATGCCTTTATTGTGGGAAGAGGGGGCATCACTGTAAAGCCTGCCCTAAACTACAGGGAAACTGCAGCACCTAAGGCCTAGAGAGGGGTCGGCCTCGGGTGTTATGACCTTGTCCCCTCATATGTCCATCTCTAGACCGTTTATTACGGTTTCTCTCTTGGTCAATAAAACCACTATAACAACCAAAGCCCTGATCGATTCAGGTGCGGCAGACAACCTTATGGATGAGACCTTTGCCAAAACCGCAGCCCTGAATTTGATTCGAAAGGAGACACCCTTGGCCGTTGAGGCCATAGATGGTAGACCACTGGAGAAACCTCTGGTGACCCATGAAACCCAGGAAATAGTTATGTCTGTGGGTGTTTTGCACAAAGAGAAGTTAACCTTCCAAATAATTAACTCCCCAACAGCCTCCATCGTTCTAGGTTTTCCCTGGTTAGTTAAACACAACCCTGTTCTTGATTGGGGTTGTTTAGACATACTTTCCTGGGGGGAATCTTGTCAGCGAGACTGTGTGGCTCATGTACATCCTGTCTGTTTACTTAACGTACCCACGGCTAAACCACTCTCGGTTTCTGTGCCCTCTGTTTATGCGGATCTTGCCTTGGTTTTTGAGAAGAGGGAGGCAGATAAGCTACCTCCACATCGTGAGTATGATTGTGCCATAAACCTCTTACCGGGCACTATGCCTCCTAGGGGAAAGGTCTACCCTCTTTCTGAAAAAGAGAACCAAATCATGGAGGAGTACATACAGGAATCCCTAAGAAAAGGTTTTATTAGAAGGTCCTCCTCTCCTGCTGGTGCTGGTTTCTTTTTTGTGGCTAAGAAGGAGGGTGATTTGAGGCCATGTATAGACTACAGGGGTCTGAACAATATAACGGTTAAAAACGCCTACCCTATCCCCCTCATCACTGAGTTGTTTGATCGTGTTAAAGGTTCTAAATTTTTCACCAAATTAGACCTCAGGGGGGCTTATAACCTTGTCCGTATAAAGGAGAATGACGAGTGGAAGACGGCCTTCAACACACGCAGTGGGCATTACGAATATCTGGTCATGCCTTTTGGATTGTGTAATGCTCCTGCCATGTTTCAGGACCTCATAAATGATGTCCTTAGGGATCTATTGCATGTCTGTGCTGTAGTATACCTTGACGACATACTTGTGTATTCTCCTGATTTGAAGTCACACCATAACCATGTTAGGATGGTGCTCAAAAGGCTATTGCAGAACGGACTCTACTGTAAGTTAGAAAAATGTTTATTCGATCAGACCTCTGTGCAATTCCTAGGATATATCATTACTGAACAGGGTTTCAGTATGGATCCTGCTAAATTGGAAGCTATAATGTCCTGGCCACTTCCCCAAGGACTAAAGGCTATCCAGCGTTTTATAGGATTTGCCAACTATTATAGGAAATTTATAAAAACTTTTCACCACTCATATCTCCCATAACGAAGTTGACAAAAAAAGGTCTACATCCTAGGGTTTGGACTCCTGAAGCCCTTAAGGCCTTCGAAACCCTCAAGAAGGCATTTGCCTCTGCTCCAGTGCTGCACCACCCTGATCCTTCTCTTCCCTTTGTTATGGAAGTAGACGCCTCAGAGTCAGGTGTGGGAGCCGTACTGTCACAGAGGTTGTCTTATGACAAACC